TTTTGTTTTGTTTTTTTTTTTTCCCTGCAGGGGAGTCAGAGGAGGAGGACACAGGTTTCCTGGAGGTCACTGTCTCTGACATGAAGCACCCACCACCAGAGCTGGGCCCCATGCCTGAGGGGCTGAGCCCACAGCAGGTCAGTGTGGGGCGGGTTGGGGGTTTTTGGGGTGGGATCACGGCTTCCCCTTGGTCCTGTGATTGAGCAACTGAGGAAAGGGCAAGTCAGCAGAAAGCGATACCGTCGTGTCAGCACTTCTGCACCAGGCTGTGCCCACATCACCCCCCCTCAAATCCTGTTTTTTGGGGGGTGAGGGGGTCCATGGCTGAACCCCAATGTCATTCCAGGTGGTCCGGCGGCACATCCTGGGCTCCATCGTGCAGAGCGAGCGGAGCTACGTGGATTCCCTGAAACGCATCCTGCAGGTGGGGGACCCCTTTTTTGAGGGGTTCAAGGTGGGGGGACACAGGGATATGGAGATGCTGATGCATTGGCATCTCCTGCAGGATTACAGGAACCCGCTGATGGAGATGGAGCCGAAGGTGCTGAGCGCTAGGAAGTGCCAGGTGGTGTTTTTCCGGCTGAAGGAGATCCTGCAGTGCCACTCCATGTTCCAGATCGCCCTCGCCTCCCGCGTGGCCGAGTGGGACTCAGCAGAGAAGATCGGGGACCTCTTCGTGGCCTCGGTAGGAGGAAAAGTCTGGGCATCATGGCTAAACTTCCCCCTGGACCCCTCTCAATGATAGCAAGGGTGGGTTGGAGGATTTAAGTGATGCATCTTCAATTTGGGGTACCACCAGTATCCTCAGCATTGCTTCAAAAGTGTGGTCCCCACCTCCCCCCTTCCTTTTTGGGGAGTCTCATGCCATCGTGAGTCTCCTCCTGCCCTCTCCTCAGTTCTCCAAGTCAATGGTGCTGGATGTCTACAGCGACTACGTCAACAACTTCACCACTGCCATGTCCCTCATCAAGAAGGCTTGTCTCACCAAACCTGCCTTCCTCGACTTCCTCAAGGTCAGCAGGACCCAAACGTGGGTGCATGGTGCTGCTGGTCACCATTATGGGTGCAAACTCCCCTCTTTTTTTAATTTTGTTTTGTTTTTTCCCCATGCAGAAGAGGCAGATGGCCAGTGCTGATCGAGTCACGCTCTACGGGCTGATGGTGAAGCCCATCCAGAGGTTCCCCCAGTTCATCCTGCTCCTGCAGGTACGGATGAGAGGTGCCTCCACCCTCCTTGCTTTGCACCCTATTTTTTGCAGCCTGGGTGCTGTGGGGAAGGGTTTAGCAAGGGATGTGTTTTTGAGTGAGCAGCTTGATTGCAGCTTTGGGGACTTTCCCAAAGATCATCTTCCAAGCTTTTTTTTGGTTTTGGAGCTGCCAAAAGTGTTTCCAATCATAATATGCTGCAATGGGGCTGATTTTCTTGGGGTGGCATTTGTCCCCCATCCTTTTCCTACTCTAGGACATGCTGAAGAACACCCCTAAGGGCCATGCAGACCGTCTGTCCCTCCAGTTGGCCCTCACCGAGCTGGAGACATTGGCAGAGAAGCTCAACGAGCAGAAACGCTTGGCTGACCAAGTCACTGAAATCCAACAGCTCAGCAAGAGCATCAGTGACCGCAGCAGCCTCAACAAGGTGGGTCCTTCAGCCTCACCTCCTCATTCTTCTGATGGGTGGGGTTTGGAGCTGGTGGTTGAGCTTTGCAGCTTCCACCTTCCTCTCCACATCAGGGGAGTTTCAGGAAGCCAGGATCCCTGTTTTCTCTGAAATGACGTTGAACAAAAGAAAATATTGAGGCTGGAGGTGGGAAATTCCCCTCCAGGGAAGAGCAAGGACGAGCTGCTTTGACTTGTCTGCCTGATTTTGCAACTCTTGGTGGCAAAAAAAACAACCCAAAATGAATCTATTGCGACACATCCTGGGCTGGTGACAACTGTGGTGGCAAAAACCACAGCAGGGCACCCGCCAGCTCAGCCCTGGGAACAGGATTGAGGGTCAGAGGATGAAAAGAGACCCAAGAGGGGCTGCAAAAGGATCACGTTGGTCTTTCTTTGGTGGCTGGATGTGCAAAGGGTTTTTTGCGTCGTGCAGCCTTGGAGCACGTTGTGTGGTCATCTCTGCAGAGCTCTGGGCCGTGTGTGCTCCCAGCTGGAGGAAAATCCTTACAATAAGGGAAAAGCAACTCAAATTTGGGGGCAGGAGGTTTGTGAGAACCTTCAGGCTGAGGTCTCCTCCTTCACCTTCTCCATCCCCTCCATAGCTGCTGAGCTCGGGGCAGCGACAGCTCCTGCTCTGCGAGACATTGACGGAGACGGTGTACGGCGACCGGGGGCAGCTCATCAAGTCGAAGGAACGGAAGGTTTTCCTCCTCAATGACATGCTGGTCTGTGCCAACATCAACTTCAAGTACGTGCTGATGGCCCCAGACCCCAAAATCACTGTGCAAAACACCAGTGTAGCGTCCTTCCCCCTTCCTCACCTCAATTTTGGGCTTGTGGGTTTTGTTTAGCTCTACCTCATGGGCTTTTGAAACCATCCCACCTTGTTTTGGAGGGGGAATTCAACTGGATTGGGATTGCTTTGCCAACCACTTCTGACATGACTCCATGCAAAGCCTCCATCCCTTGGTGTTGTGGGGTCCTGGAGACAGTGTGGGGTCCAGGAACCTGCTGGGACCTCAGTGCTTGGTGGAAGTTGATGATGCAAAGAGAAAACTCCTCCTTGAGCAAGGAGTTAATAATAATACCTCTTTATTAATTGTTTTTCCCCTCTTCCAGGCCGGTGAACCCAGGGTAGGTGCTGAGTGTGATCTGCTGTGGTTGAGTGCCCCACATTTTGGGGGTTCAGGCATGCACCAGTGCACGGTGTGGGGTTGCAAATGGGGCTCAGCTTGCAAAGTGCATTTTGGAAGGGCTTGCAGGGCGAACCAACGGCACCCACTGATTTATTTACATCTATTTTTTACATCCTCCCTCGGCAGAGGCCAGCTGGAAATTAGCAGCCTGGTGCCCTTGGGTCCCAAATACGTGGTGAAGTGGAGCACGGCCCTCCCGCAGGTGCAGGTGGTGGAGGTGGGACAGGAGAGCGGTGCCTACGACAAGGACAACGTTGTCATCCACAACGCTGGTGCTAAGAAGCACGCGCCAACTGGGCAGGCTTCACACAGTGAGTGCTCATCCCTTGATCCCAATGTTGGGCTGGTTTTGGTGGGGTGGGATGGAACATCTTCCATAGACTTCATTTCTTCATTTCTTTATCCAAGATAAAGTCTACCTGGGGCCACCACGGCTCTTCCAGGAGCTTCAGGACCTGCAGAAGGACCTGGCAGTGGTGGAGCAGATCACTCTTCTCATCAGCACCTTGCATGGCACCTACCAGGTACCTACATACCAGTTTGACCTACATGGTCAAACTCATGATTTGGGTAGAACCAACCTTGGATGCTTTGCAATAACCATGTGGTTCCTTGGAGACTGGTGGGACACCTCATCCTCCAAGACCCCCACAAATGAAATTTGGGGATAATTCAGACTTGTTTTGGAGGCACTTCTATGATTTATGACTTTTCTCCCAGAACCTGAACATGACAGTTGCCCAGGACTGGTGCTTGGCTCTGCAGAGGATGATGAAGGTGAAGGAGGAGGAGATCCACTCTGCCAACAAATGCCGCCTCCGTCTCCTGCTGCCTGGGAAGCCGGACAAGTGAGTTTGTAGATCATGGGTCAGCTCTTTCCACCCCAGGGAGGAGGAGGAGGCTGAAGACCACTCCTGGTGATGCTTTAACTCCTGGTGATGCTGGCCCTACACATGTCTGGCCGCCCCATCAGCGTCATGGTGGTCTTCATCACTCCAAACCCCCTGAGCAAGATCTCCTGGGTGAACCGCCTGCACTTGGCCAAGATAGGACTGCGTGAGTAGCCACATGGCACATTGCTTGCCATCACCCTTGCTTTGAGAAGCCAAATTTGGGAGCAGAAGAAGGTTTGCATCACTCTGAGCATTTTGACACGAAATGGGTCAGGAGGAAAAATTCAGAGCATGGGGATGGAGAACGTTTTGGGGGATTTGCACACTGGAAATGATGGGAATTGTTAATTCTGGCTCAAAATGCTTTGTGTTTTGCTGCTCTCAGGTGGCATCTCTGGGTCAGCGTTGTATGGTGATGGGTTTCTGTTGGTTTTCATGCCAACGGTGTCAGGGCTGACCTGTTTTCTGTGAAACAGGATAAATAAGCATGAGAGGAGCCGCCCCTCCTGCTGCTTCCCTGTCTCTATTCCTATTTAACTCCACCAGCTGCTGCAGCAAAAAAAACCCCCAGAAACCCAAGAAGTTTAATGGAAGAAAGTTAAAAAAAATTAAAAATAATTCATTTGAAATCCTATTTGAGGGCTCAGATCCCCCCGAGCTGAGACAATTTTTGCTCCTCTTGTTTTTAACGGTTTATGTGTTGTTTTTTGTTGTTTCTTTTAAAATCTGGGATGCCTAGAGGATAATCCTGTATCCATGAGTTGGAAATGAAAACACATTAAAGCCTAATGTGAAGAAACACATTAGGGTGTATTTTTTTTTTTTACTTTATATCTATTTATTAGTTGGGTTTTGGGGCTTTTTTTTGCTGCTGCTTGAGGCGGTTCCTTGCTGCAGTGGGGTGTGATAGTTTGAAGGAAAGGGATGAGATATGCCCCAGGTCTGCAGATGATCATGGGTTTGGGGTTGGAGATGAGAGCTCTGCAGCCCATATTACTAATTTTGGGGTCCCATCAGGGAGGGGGAGAGATGCTGAGGGGTATCTCCACCACCTTTGATCTTCTCTGCTTGCTGCAGGGGAGGAGAACCAGCCGGGCTGGCTCTGTCCCGATGAAGACAAGAAGAGCAAAGCTCCTTTCTGGTGCCCCATCCTCTCCTGCCACATGCCTGCCTTCTCCTCCAAGGCCCTTGATCTACAGGTAAGAGCAATGGCCAACCTCTTATCTAACCTCTCAATACCTCCTTCCCCTTCATATCCATCTTTTTGGGGGGAATAAAGGAAAAAAATCCCATGGTGGATGGGCTGGATGGGAGGACCAAGCTAGTTGCAAAGGCAGAAATTGGTGCAATTCATCCTGGAGAACTGAAAATACAAGTTGGGCTTGGGCTGGATCCTGATTTTTGGGGCATGCACTGATACCCTGCACACATTGAGGTAATTTGGGGGTGCTGTGGACCCCCCCATACCCTGGTTTCTCCCTCAGCTCGGCGCTGCTGTGCACAACCCTGTGCAATCCTCACTGTTGGGCTTCTCCGCTGTCAGCACTTCGTTGCCACAAGGCTACCTCTGGGTGAGTAAAACAACCCCAAAATGGGGTAAAAAAAAACCCTGTCCAGTGCTGGTGGTTGCTCCTCACCCCCCTTTTCTGCTCCTCACC